CATGGCCAACGACGGCGTTGACGTAGGTAAGACGAAATTTCCGGAGTTTGGTAAGTGTCTTTAAAAGGCAATTTATAACATTCTTCTGCGAATCTAGTGATGTCACACGATTATCTGACGTACCAGTCAATTTCGTGGCTGTTTAAAAGTTTTCTCAATTCAAGGATACTTAATTTAAAAAAAAATGGTCATAATGCTCCGTATTTGCCTCGCGATTAGAAAGTAAAACATTTTTGAACAAGACATGGTTTTAAAAATTTCAGTTGCAATGCCTGATTAAAGATTTTCAATCTTCTAGAGGGAAAGGAGAAGGACGATTTTTAACTTTCAATTGTAAATTGTGTCCGTGTATAAATCCTAAAAGAAATGTGGCATAATGTGGCGTTGCATCATGCGAACATACAATCTTGTTGCCTAACTTGATCTCTTTTTTATAAGATAAGAGTAGACATAATAATGTGATAAAGGGAAAGAACTCGATTTTACATTTATTGAATATTTTTAATGTACTAATAAACAATGCCTGATATGTTACAATTGATAGAAAATATCATTTATCTCAGACAGTAATCTCAAAGAGCACAAGTATATTACACGTATTTTTTTTTTTTTTACAATTATCCTTTTGCATTTACAATTATTACTTTTGCGTCATTCGACATTTAATGCACAAGATTTACAGAAGGATTTTACAGAAATCAGCTGTACCGAATAACGAGAGAACATGTATGCATAACTCGCCACTTCACATCATTGATTAATTTTCTAATTACAAGAGAAATTGTATAAAATTTCCTTGTATATATATTATGTACGTATCGTAAAATACAATTTGTAATGAAACGGTTCAACGACTGTCCTACTTTCATTATCGTGGAAGACGTATCAAAGATATTGTGTAGAAAACTCGCAGCGACTGAGAACATCCGTCATCCACGAAACTATTGAAATCGTCGTAAAAGCCATTTAATTTCACGACCGATTGAAAACTCACGACTCGTTTATTTCCGATGTATGTATGTAGTATTGACTACAAAGATTTTGCCCATCGATTTTGCGCGTCGAAATTGCATTTGCAAAATGACGTGAATTGAATTCGATTGGCATACGCTTGAATAATATACAATCCGATTATAAAATCGCGCAAACCCAATGAAATTCTATAACGTTTCAAAAGTTATTATTAATCTCGAAGTTTGCACTGAAACTAAGTTCGTGTGCTGTCGATTAAGGCATCAATCTTTAATAACAACAATAAGAATAGAATCCCGTACTTCGATCGGGGAAATGATTCGAATGGCTGAGCAGAGTTCTATAAGAACCATAATTGTACTAAGAGTTATATAATAAATTAACCGATTGTCCACATGATGTTCGATAATTTTCATTGAAAAAGTAGAAATTAAATATAAAATCCACTGTCAATAGTTATCGCGTCACTAATAACTACTCTGATAGTTTGGCTACTTCGATTCCTCTTGTCGTCATTCTGCGTAAAAAAAGGGTCAAAAATTTGGTATGCATTTGTCATATGAAAAGAAGAGCAATAACACAAGGATATTACTATAGATTCGGCAATCATATTAAAAGAAATATAAGAGTTTTAATAAGCGTAAAAATTTTCATTTGCGACGCATGTCATTATCTGCGTGTTTGGCATACATTAAATATAAATGCATGTAATTTATCGGAAGAAAAAAGGCAATTAGAAATTACGTTTACATCACGAATTAGTTAGCATGAAATTAAAAAATTCTAGTACAGTCTAGAAGTATTTGTAGCAAAAAAACTCATTTATTTAATTCCTTTTTTTGTATGTGTTGTAGACAAACACGGAAAAATCATGTGCAATCAGAGAAGAAAAATATTTAATATTGATTGACATAACAGGTGATCTGGTTTTATTGTTTTTTTTTTTTTTTTTTTTTT